ATTTGATGTTAATATCTCCTCATTCAGTAAATACAATTGATGATGCGCATATTTCTTTAAATTCATTATTTAATCTAATGATTATTAAACTTATAAGTGTATCATTAATTCTACTTTAAAATTTACTTATTTTAATAGTGATTGTAAAGCTTTAATTTCAAAAATAACAGGTATATTAATACACCTTAAATTATAGATTACATTGAATAATTTATGGAATTGAAAACCATTTATTGAAAATTGTTATAAATTAACAACTAATAAGTGTATTAAATAAAAATGATGTAAACTTTAAGAATTATTAATAATTGGTTTCCTGAAGGAGATTTAAATTTGAGTTCTTGTGTTTCATTAACTTCTAATGGTAATTTTACTGAAAGAAAAATAAATATTTTTAAATTGATCCTAGTAAATCTTAATATTAGTAATCATTATTGGAAAGTTTTAGTTTATGCAACTACAAAGGATCAAAATTTACGCTAAAAATTGTAATTAAAAAGACTAATTGATTATAGTTGTTTATTCTAAAATATGTTTATTTTTACAGATTTCAAAATGATTTAACATTACGTGAAGATAAGATTAATCAATATAGAATTATTCAGTTAATACTAAAGGTTAATATTGTGCATTTAACTCATCTAAAGGTTGCCATTCTGTTTACAATTCTAAAAGAAGATCTACATAAATGAATTTATTAGTTGAAATCTAATCCTATTATATTTTGAAAATGGAACAGACGATTAAAATCATATAATATGAAATTAGAACAATTCTATATTTTGCCTATCTTATTAGAATTATTTATTCTGAAGAGTCATAGCTAAAATGATTGAAATTTTGTTTTCTTAATATTCAAATAATTTTTCATTCTTAAATACCAATCCATTTCCCAATTTTTAGACTGTTTTAATAAACACCCTAAATGGTCTCTCTAAACTTAAGAAAAGGAAATATATACTAAGAAGAATTTTCACTAAGTTCAACCCATTTCCCTTGCTTCTGGCTTTGATTGTCATATAGACCTCCTCCACTATAAAAAATAAAAATCAATATGATAAGTTGTCTTACATTAATTTACCATCCAAAACATATACCCAATTACCAATTTTTCTCCCATTTAAATATTCTCCTTAAACTGTTACTTCGTTATCACTAATTAAATTTAATATTTATTCGAAATAATACCAATAGAAATTATCGATCAAATCTATCCATTATCCATGTTTAAGGAAGCATTCATCGTAGGATCCCCCTCCACTAATAATAAGATATAAAGCCTATATACATTTTTTTTTTATAATAATAAGTATTCCATCTACCTACTTTCTTACCATTTTGATATAAGCCAGCATAAGTGACTTAGCTGTCTCTAAAGAAATTAAAATTCAACTTTATTACTGATAAAATTCTTAACTTAACTCAATCCATTTTCCGTTCTTCAAATTATTTTCATCATACTATCCTCCTCCCCTAAAATTTTCATCAATTTTAATACAGTTATTCGCCTTCCCACTTAATAATCCATTTACCAATTTTTTTTCCATCTAAGTATTCACCTTAACATAATGATTCACTATTATTATACTGCAAACAATACCAGAAAACCCAAAAATTATCAACCTCAATCCAATTTCCATTTTTTAATGACTTTTCATTATATTCTCCGCCACCACTAAATGAATATAATAAAATATTATCATATATCTACATCTGTTTTTCCAAAAAAAATAAATTCCAATTACCAATCTTTTTACCATTTTTATATTTCCCTTTATAAGTTATTCTACTTAGACTATTAAAATTGATGTGAAATAATTTATTACTATGAGTAATTTTTAGTCAATCCATGCCAAATTCCATTTTTTTATCCTTAGCCATTATACAATCCTCCACCTCTAAATATATTTATTAAACTACATTGTTTTAAATCTAGAGAAATGGCTTAATTCTTTCCAATCCCAAATACCAATCTTTTCTCCTTTATTGTATTCACCTATTATAGCTATTTAACGATCACTAATATTTAATGTTTAACTAAATTACTTAGAAAAATTATCTATCAAATCTATCCATTTTCCATGTTTTAGGAAGCATTCATCATAGAATCCCCCTCCACTAAAATAACATATAAGGTCTGTGTACATTTTTTTTTTATTATAATAAGTGTTCCATCTACCTACCTTCTTACCATTTTGATATAAGCCAGCATATTTAACTTCACTGTCTCTATTGAATAATCAAAATTAAATGTTATTACATTTAAAATTCAGTGCTCAACTCAATCCATAATCCATTCTTCTAATTATTTTCATAATTTCCGCAACCACTTATAAATTAAATTTTGCATTAATATCATATATATACACTTCTTCGTCCATCCAATTAATGATCCATTAACCCATTTTTTTGCCTCCTCTATAAATTCCTTGATAAAATACTTAACTTGATCTAAGGGATGAAATAAGAAATATATACTTAAAATAATTTTCAAATAACTCTATCCATTTCCCATCTTTCTAACCTTCTTCATGGGTTTGGGTTTGGGTTTGGGGTTGGGGTTGGGTTTGGGTTTGGGTTGGGGTTGGGTTTGGTT